TCACCGTTCAGGGAATATACAGGCAAGCAAGCTGCCCCGAAGCTTGTTCAGAGTGACATGGGGTGTATGCGAGCTCGTCAGTCCGAGTCGCTCTTTAGACAACGTGATGAAGCCGACAGAACGGATATGGGTGATACTAAGTTAGGAGTGGGAACTTGAGCACGCGCGCGATGGACACACAATGCGGGAGCAAAAAACCACGTTCTCGCATGCCCGAATGGGAATTAGACGTTAGATGCAACTGGGTGATTGAATTGGAATTCTTTGGACTACATAGTTATCATATAATGTACATAGTACTTACATAGCCCATTCCATGGCCTAGGCATGTCTCCGTTTCAAGCTCAAGGTCGAGGCTCGAACTGTTTGAGATGGCGATTGATATTACAGTTCTTATGAATCTGATAGTTGTGTTTCATCAGCGTTCAAGTTCTTGTGTTGTGACTCTCACTGGCACTACTATCATGCCCCCATCACCACTCCTCAAGAAAGTCGCTGCAGCTGCCCTCGGGATTCCTACGGTCCTCGGCGGCAGCGTCTGCGCATACCTCTATAACAAGTACCCTCCGCACATCCCGCCGGCGGAGTCGCGCTTGTACGAACCGAACGCAGCGCTGAGGAGTTCCCAGGACCGTATCGATGAGAATGCAAAGCGCGAGCGCGAGACGTACTGCTGGCGGGACGGCGCCGTGACATTCTACGCGAAAGTGCCAAAAAGTGTGTTTGGACCAGAGCCGTTCGAATTGGGAGAGGCAAGGAGGAGGTGGGAGGAGGCGTTTTTCAGTGCGCCGGTCATGCGCGCGGAACGGAAAATGCTGGGAGGGAGGCCTCTTGGGTTGGAGGTTGTCAGGCCTTCCAGCGCCTCCGATGATTTAATGCTAAAATGGGATATGGATAGAGATGCTGTAGGGTTTTTTGAAAAGGCGGCGGGGTATGGGTACCCGTGGAGGTTGCCAGAAGGTGGGAGGCATGATTTGGCGGTGCGTGTTGCGGAGGATGGGGATGTGTTGGTTGGGTTTTCGGCTGCGCATGATTATGCTGTGTTACACAACGATGGAAAGGTAAGGAGAATTATTTCAAACTGTTTGGAATGATGATAAGTAGCTGATGAAAGTCGCATTGCCTAACTGTACGTAGCGCCTCCCACCTCCAGGAGAATGGATGCACAGAACCTTCGCGCGATTACTAGTGGAAGATGGTACACGACACTTGTGCCGCACCAAAGCGTTGCGTGTCGACACGTCGAAATAAAGGATTAATACCGGGATAATGAAACGTGCTTTGCTATGTAGTACCGTGTGCGCCGAATTGTTTGCCCTGTCTCGTGCGCGTGCCCCCGAGAGATTCTTGATAGACTATAGTTCGCGACGATCGGGGAAACACCCGTGCCACGTATCCGACACGTCACGCAGAAATATAAAGAGCGCTGCCCCTTCGATCGCGGTTATTTCAACCAACTTTCTCCCCTTCATGATGTCGCCGACTCGCAGGATGGCGTCCTGCCTTTCGTTCGCGTTACTCGCCGTATGTGCGCTTTTCACACTCGCAAAAGCTGAGGAGACCTCGGAGTATGGCACTGTTATTGGTATTGGTGAGTAGTTGCTAGTGCTTGACGCGTCGAAGCGTGTTCTAAACGGTACATCCTAGATTTGGGAACAACATATTCTTGTGTTGGGTGCGTTCCTTTCTCCCGGATGTGTTGTTAATTGAGCTGTTGGGCTAATACGTCCGGTAGTGTACAACGTGGAGGTCGTGTCGAAATTATCGCCAACGACCAGGGACACCGTATCACACCCTCATGGGTCTCTTTCACCGATGAGGAGCGCCTTGTCGGTGATGCCGCTAAGAACGCGTTCCACTCGAACCCCACCAACACTGTCTTTGACGCCAAGCGTCTTATTGGCCGCAAGATGGACGACCAGGATATCAAGCGTGACATGAAGCACTGGCCGTTCAAGGTCCAGGAGAAGGCTGGAAAACCCGTCATTACTGTTGAACACAAGGGAAGCGCGAAGGACTTTACCCCCGAGGAGATTTCCGCTATGGTTTTGGGCAAGATGAAGGAGACTGCTGAGGCCTATCTCGGCGAGAAGGTCACCCACGCTGTTGTCACTGTCCCTGCCTGTGAGTAATGTCGGACTTTTGTTTGGGATCATTTTCTTATTCGGTTCAGACTTCAACGACGCTCAGCGCCAGGCCACCAAGGATGCCGGTACTATCGCCGGTCTCCAGGTCCTCCGCATCATCAACGAGCCCACCGCCGCCGCTATCGCCTACGGTCTCAACAAGGCTGCTGGCGAGTCCCAGATCATCGTCTACGATCTCGGTGGTGGAACTTTCGATGTCTCCCTCCTGTCCATCGACGACGGTGTCTTCGAGGTTCTCGCTACTGCCGGTGACACTCACCTTGGTGGTGAGGATTTCGACAACCGTATCATCGAGTACCTGTCCAAGCAGTACAAGAAGAAGACTGGCACCGATGTCACCTCGAACCTCCGCGCTATGGGCAAGCTGAAACGCGAGGTCGAGAAGGCCAAGCGCACTCTGTCCAACCAGCAGTCGACTCGCATTGAGATTGAGGCGTTCGAGGACGGCAACGACTTCTCCGAGACCCTTACCCGCGCCAAGTTCGAGGAGCTTAATATGGACCTGTTCCGCAAGACCATGAAGCCCGTCGAGCAAGTCCTCAAGGATGCTGGTGTCAAGAAGGAGGATGTCGACGAGGTGTGTGCTGTGCTTTCGTCTTTGATTCGTTTCCTGACGTTCCTTAGGTCGTTCTCGTTGGTGGTTCCACTCGTATCCCCAAGGTCCAGCAGCTCCTCAAGGAGTTCTTCGGTGGCAAGGAGCCTTCCAAGGGTATCAACCCCGATGAGGCTGTTGCCTATGGTGCTGCCGTCCAGGGTGGTATCCTCTCTGGTGCCGAGGGAACCGCTGATGTCGTTCTCGTCGATGTCTGCCCTCTTACCCTCGGTATTGAGACCACCGGCGGTGTCTTCACCAAGCTCATTGCCCGCAACACTGTCATTCCTACTCGCAAGAGCCAGATGTGCGTCGCTTCTGTCTGGATTTGAAATGGATGCTGACTGCTTTGTAGCTTCTCGACTGCTGCCGACAACCAGCCCACTGTCCTTATCCAAGTCTTCGAGGGTGAGCGTTCGCTTACCAAGGACAACAACCTCCTTGGCAAGTTTGAGCTCTCGAGCATTCCCCCTGCGCCCCGTGGTGTTCCTCAGATTGAGGTCACTTTCGAGATTGATGCGAACGGTATCATGAAGGTTGCCGCCGCGGACAAGGGAACGTGCGTTGTCTTTCTTTTTGAGCGTCTGGGCGTGTGCTGATGTATCTTTGCAGTGGCAAGTCCGAGTCTATCACCATTACCAACGAGAAGGGACGTCTGTCCAAGGACGAGATTGACCGTATGGTTGCTGAGGCTGAGAAGTTCGCTGCTGAGGATGAGGCGCAGCGCAAGCGTATTGAGGCGTTGAACTCGCTTTCGTCGTTCGTCTATGGTCTGCGGTCGCAGGTCACCGACCAGGAGGGTTTGGGTGGGAAGATTTCTGATGAGGACAAGAAGACGATTCTTGAGGCGGTGAAGGAGACGACGGAGTGGTTGGATGAGAATGGGACGACGGCGAGTGAGGAGGATTTGGAGGAGAAGCTTGCGGAGGTGCAGAGTGTTGTGAACCCGATAACGTCGAAGTTGTATAGCGGTGGTGGGGCAGGGGGTGCGTCGGATGAGGATTTGGAGAGGGATCATGATGAGTTGTAGTCGCGCCGTCTTGCGATGGGGTGTAGTCGCGTCCCCGATGGGGTGTAGATGGTAGGAGGGGAGCATTTTGTATTTATAACACGCAAGTACTTACGAACATGGTATATAATTTGGGGGGGATGGTACCTCCCCGACACCAAAAAGAAGGGAGCGGGAATGGAAAATGCTTTCTTCGTTCGTTTGTTTGTTTGACGGTTCGATGAGGATTTGGGGGGTTGTGTGGGAGTAGTGGACTCGATGCTGTACTGAGCTATTAGTATATAGGTGAGTTTTATAGCGATAAGTAGATGAGCTCTTGAGCTACGTCGGCACCAAAAGGCAGGTGCTCTTAGGCTTAGGCTTAGGCTCGGTGTGGAAAGTGTACTTATGAGAGGCGCATTTCTATCCTTCGGCAGGGTACAGGTGTGTTGAGCCTGAGTCGCGCGCAGGCTGAGGACCGCGGCCGCGCGAAGTGTGTTGTATCTGATTGCCCGCTGACCAGGACAAAGTGTGTCGTATTGAGTATTGGAGAGTAAGTGGGTGTATTGAGTAGGGTGTGTCGTATTGAGTAAAGTAGGCGGTGACTTGGTGTGGGAAAGAGCGAGGGGAAGGCGAAGGCTTGGAAGGCGAAGGCAAGGCAAGGCGAAGCGAATGAGAAGGAGTGTTTCGTTGTTTTTGTGGGGTGTGAAGGGACTTGAGGAGCTCGGGAGGTGGGGCGTGCGAAGGAGGAAGAGGACGTGGGGAGGTGGTGGAGGAGGAGGAGCGAGGGAAGCGGGTGGACAGCGACCAACATTCACGCGCACGTAGTCCGGGCGGTGGGGTGGATGACGGATTCAGACACGCTGGGAAATGAGGAATTCACGCTGGGAAATGAGAAATGCACGCTAGGATACAAGAAATGGGAGATAATAGGATGGGATGGGACTTGGAGATTCAGAACCTACGCGCGTCTGTCCGTGTATCCGTTGGTTGGTTATTTGGTAGGTTGGTTTGTTGGAACTTGGTTGTTATTATTCACATACATCCATACGGCAAACCTCTCTAGTAGTAGTGAATTGGGCATCGGTACGGTACCGGTACGGTACACCCCGGGGAGCATAGGTCCGCCACCCTACGTCTGCCACCCTACGGAACCGGGAAGGTAAACAAGAGAAAAGACAAAGGTACACAAAAAAAATTCAAAAGACAAAGGTACACAAAAAGTCTAGAGAAAAACAAAAAGAAAGACAAAAAAAGAAGTTGAACAGCTTCATACCGACGACGAGGATCGAACTCGCAACCTTCGCCTAACTGTGTAGGAAAGCGACGCGCTACCATTGCGCTACGCCGGCGTTGTTTGTGCCCCCGCAGCACGCTTCCACACGGGCAACAAGGAGGAGGGCAGGGGCATGAGGAGGGAGGTGCGGCAGGCAGAGGTTATTGATCCCGAGGCAGAGAGATCGGTGAGAAGAGATCAAAAATATTTCGCTTGCTTTCACGCTTTCGTGCGCTACTCTTGAGTGCTCTACTCACTCGACGACGCGGCACGCTAGTGCTACTATCATCAAGGCCGCGCAAGTGCACTCTCAAGCACGAAAAGCACGAAAAGTACACTCTTAAGACCTGCTACACGCCCACACGCAACAAACCGCCCATTCCAGGCAAAAGCAGCACTCCCCCACCACGCTACTACGCCCACAAGAATAAAGAAACGAGAAACGCACATCCCAACGCCACCGCAATGCCAAAACCAACAAAAGCGTCCAAAAAATTCCGCGCGAGCGGGGGGCTGCAGAAGACGATCGAGAGTCGGCGGAAGGCGCAGGCGGTGAGGAGGGCGGTGCAGGGGAGGAGGCGGGGGGCGCATAAGGGCGCTGGTGCTGCTGCTAAGCATGGGGGTAGTGGAGGTGCTGCTTCAGGAGCACGCGAGAAGCATGGGCGCGGTGAAGAGGAAGGTCATGCGGCCAGTGAGGAGGAAGATGTAGACATGGAGGATGCAGCGGGAGGCAAGAAGGGAGGCAAGAAGATGAGCGTGGATGCGTTCCTTGGGGGTGGGTTTATGGATGAGGATGAGGTGTGTTTTCTTGTTTTTGCTGCGAGGTCTTTGCCTTTGCTATTTGCGCGGGGGTTTCTTTGCGTGCTAGAGCTGCACCTGCGCATGCTTTGGCGCGCTGGGACTGCGTCTTTCTTTTTCTACCCTATATCTGCCTTGCGCTCCTTTTTGCGTCTTTGCTTTATCTTTTCTTTTCCATACACACCGCGCGCACCATACCACACCTTCCCTCCTCGCTACTGCGTATACTAACCTTTCCTCCCAGGACGCTTCCTCCCATGCCCCCTCCGAAGACTCAGACTTAGATGGCGAAGACTTGGACGCTGAAGGTGAAGGTGAGGAGGAGGATGCAGAGGAGAACTTTTCGGACGTGGATGCGCTGGATGATGATGGTGAAGGTGCGTTTTTCTTCTTCTGCTTAATCCCCCCATTCCTCCTTGTTTTGTCGGGCCCCACTCGTTTTGCGATTGTGCGATTGTGCTTCGTTCCGCGATTGTGCTTCGTTTCTTTGTACATACCTCGTTTTTCTATTTGCATCCTCCGCATGCTTTCGTCCCGCGTCTCTTCCCATTCCGCGTCCTACGCTTTTGTCATTTTCGCACGATTCCATCTTTTACTGTGTTCTACGATTATCCAGTACTTCGCTCTTATATCCTTCGTCTATTCCGAATCCGGTTCCTGTCCTTCATCTATTCCGAAACCCAGTTTCTTTATCTATTCCGAAACCCAGTTTCTTTGATTATTCTGCACCCCGTTTTCATGGTCATATCCTTCGACTATTCCGTGTCGAGATTCTTTGACCCCATTTCTTCGTTTATAGACTCATGCATAGTCTTTGGCTTTGGAATTCCTATCCTTCTCTACACTATACTCCATCATTCCTCCGCGCGTCTCCCCTCCTCCCTCCCCTTCACACACCCATAGCAAACTGAAAACTGAACTAACACCCTCTCCCTCCCTTCCACAGCCTCAGCCGAATCCCACGCCGCGGCGCTCGCTGCGCTAAGCAAGACAGACCCGGAGTTTTACGCGTATTTGCAGGAGAATGATAGGGAGCTTTTGGATTTCGGGGTTGATGGTGACGAAGAGGGTGGGAGTGATGAGGATGGGGAGGAGGAGACGAAACGGACGAAGCCGTTGACGGTTGAGATTATCCGGGGGTGGCAGAAGGCGTTGATTGAGGTGTGTGTCTTTCTTTTGTTCCTCTTCTTCTTGGCGTGCATCTATACACGGACATCGTTTTCGACTTGTAATTGAGTCTGAGTTGCTTTGCCCTCGTACTGAGTTGCTTTGCCCAACAACCTCGCCTTTTTCTCTCCTTCCTCCCTTTCTCTTACGGCCCAAGCTCTTTTGCATACCTATTTCTGCGTTCGTCGGACCCAAGCTGACACATAATTCTTCTAGCAAAAATCGCTGCGTGCGCTTCGGAAGCTGCTTGTTGCGTTCCGAGCTGCGGTGCATATGCATGACGAGGACCAGAAGCTGGCGTGGTCGTTTGATAGTGCAGCTGGTGCGTTCTCTCCTCCTCTTTCGCCAACTCTAACTCTTACGCTTTTTCCCCTGCAGTGTACCGCAAACTGATCACGACCGCACTGAAATACACGCCTGTCGTACTCGCGTTCCACTGCCCTCTTTCCCCCAAAACAGGCGCGCCGGTGCAGACGCCGAAGCTACGCACCCTGCAGAAACTGATCCTCTCGTTCTTCCATAATGCGATGACGCTTGTGGAGCAGGTGACGGATGCGAAGCTGTTGAGGGTTGTGGTGGAGGAGAGTGCGCGGGTGGTGGGGTATGTGGGGAGTAGCAGGAAGAGTGTGAAGGCGTATTTGAGGGTGTGTTTGGGGTTGGTGGCTGCACGCGGAGACAACGACGAAGGAGAGGAGGACGGGGAAGGAAGGGGAGGGGGAAGGGGTAAAGGGGAGGAGAGGGAGGGGGTGAGGATGGCTGCGATGCTTGCTGTGAGGAGGTTAGCGCAGACGAGTCGGGCGACGTTGGATCTTGTTCTCAAGGTGCCTTTCTCCCCATCTCCTTCTCCTTTTCCTTGTTGATGTTTTCCTTTTTTTGCAGGCGACGTACCTCACCTTCCTCCGGACATGCAAAAACACCAACGCGCACACGCTTGGGGTGATTACGTTTATGAAGAACAGCGGTGCGGAGTTGTTTGCGCTCGACACTGCGGCGGCGTATCCCCTCGCCTTTGGGTATATAAGGCAATTGGCTATCTTGTTGAGGAATGCGATTAAAGTGAAGGGGAAGGGACAGGGGCAGGGCAAGGAAGGGGAGAAAGGGAAAAGCGAGAAGGCGGTGTGGAATTGGCAGTATGTGCATGGGGTGGATTTTTGGGTTGGGGTGCTTGTTCGGTGCGCTGCCGGAGGAGGAGGAGGAGAGATGAAGGCGCTGGTGTACCCGCTCGTGCAGGTATCCCTTGGTGCGTTGGGGGTTCTGCCTTCGGCGCGTGCGTTCCCGTTTCATTTGCATATCTTGCGTTCGCTTGTTCGGCTTTCCTCTTCTTCGGGTGGAGGGGCGGGGGGAGTGTACATCCCGCTTGCGCCATACATCCTCGCGCTCCTCCTCCCCTCTGCGAAGGAAAAAGGAAGCACCCTAGCGCCTTTGGATTTGGACACGAGCATACGGTGTCCGGCGCAGTATGCGGGCACGCGTGTGTATGGGGAGGGTGTCAGGAGGGAGGCGGCGTGGGTGTTGGCGGTTTGGATGAGTGCGGAGGGGGTGTGTGGGAGTGTGGCGTTTCCGGAGGTTGCGGGGGGTGTTGTTAGGGTGTTGAGGAGGGGGGTTAGGGGTGGGGGCGCTGCTTCTTCTTCAGCGGGAGGCGGGAAAGGAAAGGGGAAGGGGAAGAAGGGCGCGAAGAAGGGAGGAGGAGCGAAACATAGTGCGGATACGAAGGTGCTCATCGAGCGTATCGAAGCGTCCGCTGCATGGGTCCAGACGCTCCGCGCGTCCTCGCTTAACCTCGTTCCGACGGGGAGGGATGAGGTTGGGGTGTGGGAGGAGGAGCTAAGAGGGAAGGTGAGGAGGGGGGAGAGTCCGTTGGGGAGGTGGGTGCAGGTGCAGGGGAGGGTTAGGGAGAGGGAGAGGGAGAGGGTCGAGAGGGCGAGGGTTGGACGGGGGGAGGTGTTAGGAGACGATGTGGAGGATGCGAGTGAGGGGGAGGGGAGTGAGGGGGAGGGGGAGGGGATGGGGATGGATGTTGATGGGAGTAGTGATGAGGAGGAGTAGGTGTAAAAGAAAAAGAACCGCGTGTAGTGTTCATTTCGTATTTCTCTCCGTATGCTTCTTTGAATTTGTTGTATTCCCTCTGCCGCAGCGCGCGAGTGAAAGCTTCGACTCGCACTCCAATCCAGCGCACCTATGTACGTACGCATCCACATCTAACTCTTACCACAATGAACCGCACCCCCATCCAAGCAAATATGCCGGCGTAGCGCAATGGTAGCGCGTCGCTTTCCTATGTATGAAAGCAAGGCGAAGGTTGCGAGTTCGATCCTCGTCGTCGGTAATGAAACAAACAAAGGCGTGTGTGTTTTTGACTTGGGTGACTTGGGGCTTTTCTTGAGGCTTTGCTTTTTTGTTTTGGCGCTCGGAATGGTGAGTGACAGTCAGAATAGTGAGTGATGCTGAGAGTTTGGGCTAGTGAGTAACACCCGATTCCCCTGAGTGCATCCTCCTCCCCGTTGATTTAGACGACTGTTCAACGTCTTATGCAGCGAGTCGTCTCAGAAAGTTGGAACTGATCTACGGGTACTTTGAGTACCTTCATGCAGGCCGCTTTGGCCGCTTTGAAAACTATAGTCTATGAAAGGTGGCGTTTTGGGTGCTAGCGTACCCAGTGCCCAGTGCCCATATCCAATGCCCATACGCCCGTATGCATGAGTAGTAGTAAGTACTCGTCGGTGTTGACGTTGAGGCTTTCAGTGTGGGTGCGCAGTGGTATTGAACATGTCTAGGACTCGATAGTCCGGCTTTCGGCTTCCTACGAGTGGACTTGAGCTCATTTGGAAATTCCACTTCAGCGAATCGTGGGTTCGTTCATGGGCCCAAGCATCCCTACGCATGCGTTCAAGCCGTCGACGCGTTGATGGTTCGGGTTTGGAGAAGGCCACGGAGCGCTCCGAACACATATCTTCCCCGGCGTTGAAGGAAAGTCGGGGGACTTCTTGAATTTGCTTGCACTTGAACCTCCGAAGTGAGAATTTTGGTTCGGAGGTTTCCCCTTCTCCGAACACATATCTTCCCGGCGTTGAACAAGAGTCGGGGCCTTCTTAAATTTGCTTGCACTCGGAC